GTTCCGTTAAGATTTCAAAGTACGCACTCACTCACCATCCCAGCCCATCTCATCCATCCCATTACATACAACACCCCCGAGCCAATCCTCTACTGATTTGTCCTTGTTCCACGACGGGATAACTTGGTAGCGAGGGAAAGGGGCAGGAGATGCCAGAATAGAGACACACACGAGGGTTGCAATCTAATGAAATAATAATAATAAAAAAAAAAAATAAATAAATAAAGCAAAGGGCACTGGCGAAGGGGAGGAGAAAGAGGAGAAGAAGGAAAAGAAACGGAAGGGATAGGAACAGTAAGTCCCGTTTATCATTTTCAGCCGCTTTTGATCCTCAATCGTAATTGGGGGTGCAAGAGAGATGGCAAGTATGCAAGGCAAGCGCATAACGGGACACATTCCCCCAAAAAGCAGGAACGCAGCGAAATAGAACATTCAATGTGCGTTCCAAGGCTCCTCATCCCATTCGGGCAAGTAACTAATTCCTGTTCACATCTTTTTTCTATCCATCAAATCTATCAAAAAATGTCTTTGTATCATCTTGAATGATCATTTCTCTTATTAATAAATCTTTAGAGGTATAAAATCACCAAAAACTCTCCCTAATCTCATATTTCCAACCATAAACCCTTGTCTTTGCTTAGTTTTTCACTAAAAACTTTGCTTTCCCAACGTATTTTCTTTCACTGTACTCTCCCATATCCTTACTATAACCATCCCATTCCGATCCGAAAACATCCCAAATCGAAATGGAAATCGCAGCATGGCAACGCACAGCCAACGCACAGGACACACAAAAATGCGTCGCAGTTGCCTCAGGGGTGGGTGGTGGCTTTCCTTATACCCTTACCCTTGCCGTTAACCCCTCTATATGCTCGCATACCCTCGTCCGTCCCATTGTGCGGTGCAGGGGAGGCAACTTGGCAGCTCGACTAGGCTAGAGCTAGAATCCAGAACCAGAGCCAGCCGGCTGTAAACATTCCTGGCAGACGCAGGAACGCATCGCAACCACAGCCACAGTCGTGCAGCGGTGGTGGTGAATGTATTAAAGGGGGTTTTTGGGGGTTCAACAGCCTCCTTTTATCAATTCTCATTTCACATTTTCCTTTTTAAGTTTTTCAATAGGTCTTATTACCTCGTATGTAACACCTTTTAGAAAAGTTTTTTAAAGAATTTTGCTATCAAGTTTGACTTGCTAGTTATAACTTTTTAGTTTACTCAAAAACTCTTTAAGCTTTTTCAAGGGTTATCCTAGATGATCTTATGTTATCGATTAGGACAAAGTCTAACGATTATTTATGTTCTGAAGATCCATTAGAGCTATAAAGCCCTAAAGCTTTTAAAGTAAAAGTCTAACCATAAAACATGATGAGTTAGTTTCTCCTTTCTGTGGAAAGTTTTCCCTCTTAAGGGATCCCTCTTAAGATTTCCTACTTGAAGATTTCCATCTTAAGCTAAGAATCGAGAATCTAGAATTTAACTAGAACTAGTCCTAACTACTTAGTAAGCTATATTTTACCAAATTTTATATTAAGAAAGAAAGAAAGTTTAAGTTTAAGAACCATTATTTGAATCTAATTTGTTAAACTAAAAACTAGTTCGACTCCCTAATCTAAAGATCTCTCTATAGATTGTTGCTAAAAAAAAGATTGAAGCAGGCCTGGGTGGTGCTGTAGTGCAACCCCCCGTCACTTTCATTTTTGCACCCATCGCCCCTGTCCAGGGGCGTAGTAGTAGGGCCACATCCTCGACCTTGTCCTTGTCCCGTATTTTGGGGTTGAAAAACTACGCAAGTTTCGCTCGAAATTCAATTCGGAAACGGGACGCAATCAGTTTGTTTGTGTGCGTGCGACTGGCTATGGTTGTGTACCTTAGTGTCTGTGTGTGTGAGTGTGGGCTGAGTTGGGTTGGTAACAGTCGTACATATTTACATATATATATATATTATATATATATACATACATATTGTATGTTTGTTGTTTCTTTTGGGGTGCGCATCGGATTTAGCTGAACGAGGAAGCAGCGGAGAAAGAGGAACGGGAAAATGTAGGAGAGCAGGAAGTTGAAATTTCGATGCCAGCAAGGTCAGCGAGAGAGGGAGATGGCTTAAGTAGTAAGAAAGAGCGAGAGAGCGGTAGAGTGATATGAAAAAGACAGTCTTAGATCAAAAGGTGATTGTAAGATTTCGAATTTCCCAAACATGAAAATGTTCTTGCAAAGATAAAATGCAGTTTATTTTCTTTTTGGATAAACTCATTTTCTTAAAATCTAGTTGGAAAATTTAGTTATGATTGGTTATTTAGGATTTATAACTAAGTTAACTATAAAGTTAACCCTAAAAATCGAAAAATATTGGTTAACTTATTCTTTAACTCTCAGTTCTTGGTAACTATTTTAGTATTTTATTAGAAAGTTACATATAAAAATCTATATTGATGAACTTAGCTTTATATTTTTACTTATAAAAGTTAAGAAGTTTCGTAAGTGCTTAAAAATTAAGCTATATATTAGCTATTAAGCGTATATTAAACATATTCTAAGCGTAGAAGACCCAAAAGGCTGCTTGTAAAAATTATTGCATACTTTCAAGAGTCTAGAAAAGGAAAGAAATATCTAACTGATCACCAAGAAGTATAAAATATGACTAAAAATTCATAAATTAAAGGTTTCCCATTAATATAATCACTATCTTTAGGGATATTTATACTATTTTAAGTTAATAAGGTAGCCTTACTAAATCATAAGCCTTATAACTATCATTCATTGACAAAAAAAAACAAAAAATCACAAAAGATTTATTTTTATATCAAATGTTTATTTTGAAAGGCCAACCAAGAACTTGCTTCAAGTGGCAATCGTTGGCGGAATAGAATCCACAATACATTTCCCAAGAGGAATTTTTTTTTCCTTGTTCTCTGCCTTTGGCCCATGGCATATCTCAAAATTAAAGTCTTGTCGTGCCTTTTTTTTTTGTAAAGCAGCTGTGGCAGTTTGAATTTTCCTGACATTTTCACCAGCCAGCAGACAAAACAGACAGACGGCGATAGGAAAACATGAACGAAGGAGAGTGGAAAACAGAAAAGCAAAGAGTAGAGAGAGGCAGAGGCAGAGGCAGAGAGAGAGAGAGGTAAGGAAAGCGAGAGGGAAAAACGCCAGCGCCGCTAGTCTTCAGGCCACCCTTGTTTTCAGAGTTTTTCCCCGAGTTTTCCGCTTGGGACAATGAATTTTCGCTTTTCACATTTCACACTCGCACTCACCCTCGCAACCTCGCAGCTGCGTTGACGTTGACATCGACGCTAACGTCGACTGCGCTGTCAACAGCATGAGCCGGTACCAAAACCAATCAGATGGAAAATATTCGTTTATCCGTTGAGTTTTTTCCATGTTTTTCCTTTCGCTCGGGAAAACCTTATTCTATGAAAGAACAGTGCCAAGTACAGGTCCAACAGCTGGCACAGTCTTTAATAGAAAAATGTCCCTATACCTCTATATCTTTACTAAAACATCTAATTTGTATCTGAAAATTATGATAAACTTAACAGGAACTTTAAAAATATCAAATTAGTATAGTAGTTTGTGAGAAAATTTTGTAAAATCCATGCAGTAAACTAGTAAGCATTACTAGTAAAACCATTTTTAGAGCCTAGACTAAAACTTTAGTTTTCTTGCTTAAAAACTAAACTGCTTACCCAACCCGATAGTTTCTCAGCTTGTTTGCCTTTTTTTGTGATATTTTAATAGGAAAAATTAATGTTTTTACCAGTTAAAACCATTAAAAAACTTCACTTTGGCAAGCTAGTAAAAAGATTTCCTAAACAAATTTGTATTTTTCCCACCCAAAAACCAAGAAAAATCTTAAAAAAATTATATAAAAATTGCTAGTCAGATTTCCTTATGGAAAATCCTAAAAAAGTTCTATAAATCTCGATTTCCTTTACTATTCCAAACATTTTCCTATAACTGCTAATCAAATCAGATAGTTAGTCAGCTTGCTTACCTTTTCCCTTAATTTATTTTCATAGGAAAAGTTTTGGTTTTTACCAGTAAAAACCATTTAAAAACTTCACTTTAACAAGCTAGTAAAAAGATTTCCTAATATTTAGCTTATAAAAATTTGTATATTTCCCACCCAAAAACCAAGAAAAATCTAGAAAAATTATATAAAAATTGCTAGTCAGTTTTCCTTAAGGAAAATCCTAAAAAAGTTCTATAAATCTCGATTTCCTTTACTATTTTCCAAACATTTTCCTATAGCCTGCTGCTAACTTTTGGGTATGAGTGTTTTGTAAGCCGGCTGCTGCTCTTTAAAGCGGATAAAGCGGATAGAGACGCTCACATGTACGGCGCACACATACAGATGCGCCGACAAAGGAGCAGGGTCAGCCATTTTGGTTTACAACTTTCACTGTTTTTTCGGTGTTGTTCTTGTTGTTGTTGGTATTGTTGGATGGGAAAATGCGACGCCAACGCTAGCGTTAACGTTAACGCCAACGCCGCTGCTGCGACTGCTGAGAGGAGAGTTTTCCTCGCATTTTCATCGCTGAGCAGAGCAGACACCTTGGAATTGGGATCCGTATATCCGGCAGGCAGTTCACTCGTCGCCGTTGCGTCAGTTCGTTCGACACTCGACTCTCAGCTCACAGCTCACAGCTCACAGCTCATAGTTCACAGTCAATAGCTCACGCCGCGTCGCCGTTCACAGCTAAATCTATCTTTTCCAGCTAACGAGATAGTTTTCCGCCGTCGTCGTCGTTGCCGCCGCCGCCATTTGCGATTTTTGTTGTTTTTTTCTTTTATGACCAAAAAAATAAAAAAAAAAAAATACGAAGTGACAAAAGTAAAAGAAGAAGAAGAAAACCCAGTGAAAAGCCATAAGAAAGGCGAAAAGAAAAAGTGCTGAAAATTCATAGATTTAAACAAGAAAAATATTCGACAAAGTGTAAGTGTGGGAAAGAGAGAGAGAGGGGAAGAAAGAAGAAAGAAAACCAAAAGAAGAAAAAACCAAAAAAAAAAAAAAACAGGGTTAGAAAGAGACAGGGAGTGTGTTTTTCCAGGCTTACTTTGTACGCACTCACGCAGCTGCTGCCGTCTCGCTTGCACTCGCACACTCTAACCGACACCCACCGCAACCCACGGCCGCAGAGTTGTCACCTACGCAAAAATCAATAACGAAAGCAAATAAAATAAAATCCACATCGACACATCGAAAACAAGCCAAGGAAATATTACTTCCGGTCGAAAATCAAACAGTGGAAAAATCAATTTTATATCCTGACAGGTTTTTAGAAAGCTTTTAAATGGGTTTATCTCAAGGAAAAGTCTTAGTTTTTCCCTTGAAAAATCACTTTAATTTCTCCTAAAAACATAAAATCTTCAAAATTATTCATAAAATTTCCCTAAAAACTCCTTAACTTGTCATATTTTTGATCTCAAATAAGAGTAACCCTCCCCCTTGTTGTTGTTATCGATATTGCCCCACTCTAATGCCCCATTTTGGTAGCACTTTCAATCGCAGACACCATTGGCTCTTCTATCAAGCCCAGCTGCCAAAAGGCCTCTACAAATTTTCACTTTCTCACAATTCTGTTTCAACTTTTTTTCTCGCTCAAAAAAATCAAAAATTTACCCAAAATCAAAAATATACACTCACACAGACCCACAGCAAGGCAAGAGACCGATAGAAAGATACAACAACAACAACAAGCAAGCAAGCAAGCAAACAACAACAACTACAACAAGAAAGTAAGGGAGAAGAAGAAGCGAATGATTGAGCCAGATCTAGGAACCAAACTGAATCCAGTACTAAGCGTTCTATCAATCAGTTTTCTTCAACTTTTTGTTTCATAAATTAAACTTTTTTTTTAGATAACATATACCTTTCTGATCCTTTAAATATATTCTCAAACCAAACAACCAGAGAGCAAGAGAGAGAGAGAGAGACGGCAGCAACAGCGTCTTCAGCTAGGTGAAAGAAAAGTAAAGAAAAAGTCGCAGGAATAGAGAAAAATCTCAATCCAAACCCAAAACTCTGACATCTCAAAAACATCTCTCAGATAGCGACGCCCATCCGATGAGCCGAGAACCCAGAACCGTAACCTGATAACCGATAAGCCAGTAACGAATCAATAGCCTGGACAGATATCTGGAGATTTTTGGAGCACCTCAATCTCAAGCAGTCTCAACAGCATCAACCCTCAAACCAATTTGTATCTGTAAGTATGGCAGGCTATGTCTTTGATAGATAGTTAATATAAAATGACTCAAGGGAGTAACAGAGTTAGGGTTTTCACTAGATAAAGATAAAGATAGTATAGATATATACTACTAATCCAACTTGGGAATGCCCCTCTATAAGAAGTTATTCCTAATTGGAAAAGATACTAAAACTAAAATCTGTATCTTCTAGGCTTCTTAGCACTAAGAATGATCTCATAAGAAGCTAAAACCTCTTCCTTGCAAACACTTTATATTACTAGAACTTCTTATTAAACCAACTCAACTTATAATTAAACTAAAGATCAATTAAAAACCTATAACTTAGCTGAATCTAGAGCGAGTACTCCCACCGCCCCCTCCTAGAAATTCCTCAGCCTGTTCTTTCATTCATATTTCCGATGAGCAGTTCTCAGTTCTTCTTCTCTCTATTTTGGGTTAAAAGAGGGGGCCTTCACTTCGTTGCAACATTGTACGAATGACACGCCGACTACAGGGCACTCTCCTTAAGATGGCTAATAAATTTGCTAAGAGGAAAAGAGCAATGAAAGAGCAATGCAAACAAGTCTCCACTGTAGTTGAACGGAGTTTGGTTGCGTGTTTGGCGTCTATTTTAAATGTCGACAGCGCAAGATGCGCGTGGCATGAATGAAGCGTCTGTCCCGCCCCTCAGTCTTTACCCGAATCCCCACCGCACCGCACCGCCCTGCCACCCTACTGCCTTGCTCTTGTTGCCTCTTAGTCTTCCTCATTCTAATCTGGCTTGTCTGCTTCTAAATTTAATACATTCTCAAGTGAGGCAAATTCATGGAAGATGCGAATAAAATCGGATTAATTTTAAAGTTCAACAGCCGCTGAAAACGAGGGAGAGAAAGTGAATGTTGTGGGATATATAAATGAAAGATAAAGGGGGAGGGGTTTACGGGGTAAGATATATGTTTGATGGGGTCGAAATTCCTTATCGATTGGGGAGGAGATGCCTAGAGAGATGCCTCTTAGAGATGCTTTCCACACATCTTAAAGCTTCTTTAGTTAGCTAAAGTAGATGGGAAGGTTCGTTTTAGGGGGTGGCTTAGTTATATTTCAGATCTTAAGTATGCTTCTGCTTATCCTCAAACATTATCTTTTGATAGATAATTCGAAAGATCAACTTAAAAGCTTTCCTTGCGTGTGAAAATGTTACTTCTACTAGTTCCCACCTTCGATCATCATCTTTCCTTTCTAGCTGCAAGTACTTTTCTAGGAATTTCTCCCTAAATAGCTTGAGAAACCAACCAATCCATATATAAAACCTATAAATATTCCAATTACCATCCTTCAATCTCATGTTAGCCAAGAATCTCAAATCAATCCATTAGAATCCTCACAAATTAGCTGCTAATTTGCGGTTCACTCCCAGTTAGCTCCTCAAACTCCCAACGTATGTACTTGAAAGGGCGCTTCTTCATATCGCACTCGATCTTCATACAGCTCGTCATCTATCTCGTTCTATTGGCGGCAACTGTACCTCGTTAGCGCGCTCCTGTGACGCGGGTTGTCCTTGAGGCAGCTCTCTAAGAAAGCTTAGGTAGGCAGGAGGCAGGAGGCAGGAGGCAGGCAGCTTTCGCAGCTGTTGCCTGCTGCTTAGCTGCCTCGACTGCGTCTCTCTCGACTCGTCCGCCCTTCCATCCTTGGGCACTCCTCTTATCTAGTCCTTAAAGGTGTCCTGTAGCCAAAGGAGCCCATATCCCCGGCTCTAACCCCCCTGCTCTGGCATTTCGCGTTCGATTGTTTAATGTCCTGTTCGGTGGCTAGAGTGTGCGTGTGTGCGTCGGGTTAGCCCTAGGAATTAGATGTTAGAAGTTGCTGGCGACTTGATTTTTGGTTTAAACGAAAGAAGTTTTTAGTTTAAATTAAAATTATTTGGTATTTGTTGCATAAGTTAAAAGAAACTAGTTACTATTTTCTTTATAAAGCTTCAATCACGAAGAATCTTTGATGATAAAAGGGATTCTTTTGATTTTCAGCTTGCTTTTGCTTAATCTTATTCGTGATATGAAGTTTATTCTTTGATCAGAGACATATGGCCCCTTTAAAAGTTACTCTTAATAGGTATTAATTCCTATTTGTAACAACCCATACTGTAAAGTTGTCCTACTTATGGAGAGTCTTCAAAGATATATCTCAAAAGGTTCACCTTTAAAGTTATATTTTTAAGTTTGCATCCTTTTAGGAAAGGCTTCAGCTTTCTCTTCCTTTATGAACTTTAACATTTCTATCCTTAAGTTTATGTGTTAAAAATGATATCTTAAAATTGATATGTTAAAAGTTATATTATAAAAGCTATATCTTAAAAGAGATATCTTTAAAGGTAAATTTCAAAAGTTAAAACTAAACTCTTCCACTTTTCCTTTCTTGGTGACCAAAAACTTGTACCCTTAATACTATATATTAATAACGATATCTTAAAGGTTTAATATTAAAAGTTATATCTTAAAAGTTATATCTCGAAAGCTATATCTAGAAAGTTAAACCTAAACTCCTTTCTGATTGCTCCATAAAACTTGTTTCCTTAAAGTTATATATCTACAAAGATATCTGAAAAGTTATATAATATCTTAAAAGAGAAATCTTAAAACTTACATCTCAAAAGTTACATCTCAAAAGTTATATCTCAAAATTTACATCTTTCACTCAAAAACTCAACAAAAAAAGTCCTTAAATTTCATTTTTAAATAATTATTTCCTTAAAAAGAAATCTTTAAAGTTATATCATAAAAGTTATATCTGAAAAGTTATATCTTAAAAGTTAAACCTAAACTCTTTAAGTTTTTCTTTCTTTTTGCTCCATAAAACTTGTATCCCTTAAGTAATATATTAACAAAGATATCTTTAACGTTATATCTTCAAAGAAAAATCTTAAAAGTTATTTTTTCAAATTCACATCTTAAACGTTATATCTTGAAAGAGATATCTTGAAAGTAGCATCCCAAAAGTAGTATCTTAAAAAGTCACCACGAAAGTTCAATCCTTTTAGGAAACTCCTTCGCTTTCTCTATCTTGTTGCATCTTAAAACTTCTCTTCTTAAACTTATATCTTAAATATGACATCTTAAAAGTTGCATCCTTTTAACAAAGTTCTTCACCTCCTTTTTCTTGTGGCATCTTAAAACTTATATCCTTAAAGTCATATACTAAAAGTGATATCTTGAACTATTTTTTTTCTTAAAAGTTATGTCCTTAAAGTTATATTAGTAAAATTCTTTAAAGAAACTCCTTCACTTATCCTCTCCTTGTTGCAACCAAAAAGTAATACCCCAAAAAGTTAAGAAACTTCCTTCCATATGTTGCATTCACCTAGCTACCAACTACATGCAACATAAGCCAAAAAGGATATCGAATCCTTAAACGATAATTCCGAAAAGGACACGAACACTTTTCTGTATGCATTGGGCTTGAGCGAACGATTCGTGTGCATCTCAATCACATTTGACTGCGTTCGCCATTGCAGTCGGGAAAATTGTAATCAACCACTGAGCCACTGAACCACCGAGACCACCACCGACACCACCCAGGCCACCCACAAGTGTCTAAGTGGACGGACAAACGGACAAATGGACAAACGGACGCAGGCACATAGATCTGGGCGATTTTATTCGCAGTGCCAGGAGACGAGTGTCCTTCCCCTTCTCTTTCACTCTTGCTAGTAAAGCCTGCAATATAGGTAGGAGGGGGGAGTAGTGTGGGTGGTTAGGCCTGGTGTGTTGCATACTTTCAAGGGGTTGCTGTTGCACTTTGCTGTGCGCGCGCCATTTTCTGTGTTTCGTTCTCTTGAGAAAAAAAAGGAAATGGAGCAGAAAAAGTGCAACTGCAACAGGCGTTCGCCATTTGCCGCTTGGCAATGACCAAGAGGAGTGTGGGGGTCGTAGGTCAAGCCCGCCCACCCGGGGGTTATAACCTTTGGCAGGATGATGTTGCAACCGCAGGAGTTGCCACCCCTTAAGCTTCTTGATGCTCTTGCTTTTGCTTTTGCTGCTCCTGCTGCTGCTGCTAGCGATGGTGGTGGTTGGAAACCCTTTGCCGTCGTCGTTGCACTTTTGTTGCAAATTGCTGGCAAAGGACAAAAAGCTTTACAAGCCTCGCCACCTCTAATTGGCTTGTCGCGGCAGCAAAGGAAGGAGAAGAAGGAGGAGGAGGAGGAGGAGGACGATTGCCAGGAAGGATTCAATCGGCAGGCGATGGCAAAAGGGTAGAACTAATTTAAACCATGTACCATATGTACCCCTCTTGCACCCTGGCGTCACCCTTTGCCAGCTTTGCCAGCTTCTTGAGAAAATGCGAAAGAGAAACAGAGAGAGAGAGAGAGAGAGAGAGAAAGAGAGTGAGGGAGCTGGAGATGAGGCCTATTAAACGTCAATTAATGTCACCTTCAACAACTGCAATTGCTGCCCATTGCAGTTGCCCATCGTTCAACCCTGGACCCTTCCTGGGTCTCCTACCCTGTACCCTCTATCCTCTACCCTCTCGATTCTGATTTTGTTTTGATTGCGACGCGTGCAGGGCCTTAAGTTGGCGGGCAGGATGGCTAAGAGGGCAGCCAGGGCAGTGTGTGTGTGTGTATGTGTGTGTGTGATAACTATATAGAGGGTCAGAGTGCACTGTTGCATGCAACAAGTGAGCTGACAAAAGCAGATGGAACATTGCCACGACCCAGCTCTCCTTTTTTTTTATTGCCATTTGAATGCATCAAAAAAAACAGGCACGGAACGAGCTTTCAACAAGGTTGCAAGTTTTCAATTTGATTTTAAAGGCATTTCAACACTTTAAGTGTCATGATGATAGCCCCTTAGTTTTCCTTGCAACTTCAATGTTGGGAAATAATAAAACGAAAGGGTTAAGAAGCAGCTTGGCTAAAGTCAGTTTCGAAAATTGTTGCAAGTTTTTAAAGGAATTTATGTTTAGAGAGCTTAAAGTAACTTATTAAGGTTGCAACTTACAAAGTTGATAGGTTTGTAGATAA